GGGACAGAGTGGATGTAAATGGACTAAACACCCCCCCCAAAAAGGCAGAGATTGACAGATTGGAATTTTTTAAATCCAACTAGTCACTATAAATAAGAAAACACACTTTAAATATAAAAGAGACAGACTGAAAGAATGGCAAATGATAAATCATACAAACCCAGTACATGAAAGCTGGTGTAGCTATATTAATATCAAAGCAGACTTCAAAAAGAGTGCAATGAGAAACAGAGAGGGGAATTTTATAATGATCGAAGATTCAAATTCATGAAGACACCTAATAAAAATATCCCAAAATCATAAAACAAAAATTAACAGAATTAAAGAAAAAAATAGGAAAATCCACAATCATAACTTGATCAAATAAATAGACAAAAAAATCAACAAGAGTACAGAATTTCTGAACAACATATCAATGTAACCTAACAGATATTTACAGAACACTGTATTCAACAATAGCAGAGTACCCATTTTTCATGTGATTGAGAACATTCACCAAGATAGGCCATATGCTGGGCCATAAAAAAAGTTTTAACAAATTCCAAAGGAATGAAATCATACCAAGTACATTCTCTAACCACAATAGAATTAAATTAGAAATCTGTAGTCAAAAGATCTGAATGTTTTCCAACATTTAGAAGTTAAATAATATATTCCCTGGTAACCCACAGGTTACTAGGAGAAAACTAAGAAAACTATTACAGGAGGAATTTTAAAACACTTTAAACTAAATGATAAAAATACACATCAAAATTTGTAGGATGCAGCTAAAACAGTGCTTCTGGCTTAGAGAGAAATTGACAGCTTTAAATGGCTATGTAAGGAAAGAAGACAGGTATACAAGCAATAATGTATGTTTCTATATTAATAAGATGAAAAAGAAAAGCAAATAAGTAGAAGAGAGGATATAATAAAATTATAAAGCAGAAATCAAGTGAAGAAAAATGGACAAACAATACAAAAACCCCCAACAAAGTAGAAGCTGGTTTCTGGAAGATTAATGAAAGGGATAAACCTCTAGCAAGACTGAACCGGGGAGGGGGGGAAATCAAAACCATAAATTGCCAATGTAAAGAATGATAGAGAAAACATAACTACATGCTTCACAGTAATTAAAGAATAAGAAGAAGATAGTATGGGCATTATAGCAATGAATTTGACTCCATAAAGGAATGGACAGATTCTTGAAAACTACAACAGGAAACAGAAAATTTGAATAGCCCTATAGCTTCTGAAAAGAATTGCATTAATAATTATAGGATTTCCCAGAAAGGAAACATCAGGCCTAGATGACTTCCCTAGTAAATTCTATTAAACATTTAAATAAAAAATAAAGGCAATCTCATACAACTCTTTCAGGAAAGAAAGAAAATGGAATCACTCCCCAATTATTTTGCAGGACCAGCATAACTGTGACACTAAACTTAGGCACGGACATTCAAAAATAGAAAATTACACCAATATACATCATGAAGCTAGACATAACAATCCTTAACAAAATAACAGCAACCAGAATCTTGCAATATATAAAAAGCATAATACCTCACAAACAAGTGAGATTTGTTTATCCTAGAAAAGCAAAATAGACTTAACACTAAGAAAAATCAACGGAACTCACAAATTAAAGGAGGAAATTAATATATGCAAGCTTCAATTAATGTAAAAAAAAAACAACTAACAAAGTTCAATACCCATTCATGCTAATACTCCTAGCAGACTAGGAATAGGAGAAATTTCCCCAACTTGGTAAAGGGTCATCTTAAAAACATACAGTTAATTTTATATGTAATAGTAAAATATTGAAAAAATTTCCTTCCTAAAATTAGGAAAAAGGCAAGGGTATTTGCTCTCGCCATTTCAACCGAACACTGTAACAGAAGCACATATATAGTGCGTTAAGGCAAGAAAACAAACAAATAAAAGGCATATAGAATAGAAAGAATTAAAGGTCGCTATTTGCAAATGGCATAATAGCGTTAGTAAAAAATTCTAATGAATCTACAAAAACAGCTATGAGACAACTACAAAAGCAAATTTACGAAGACTATGAGAGATAAGATCAGTCTATAAAAATAAACTATAGCTCTATATACTATCTATCAACAACTAGAAAATACTTTTAAAAATATCATTTACAGTGGAACCAAAAACATCAAAAAACTAGAAATAAATCCAAAGAAAGATGTACCTACCACACTAAAAGTTCTGAAGTATTTTTTTTAAAGATTTTATTTACTTATTTTTAGAGAGGGAAGAGAGGGAGATAGAGAGAGAGAGAGAGAGAAACATCAATGTGCGGTTGCTGGGGGTTATGGCCTGCAACCCAGGCATGTACCCTGGCTGGGAATCGAACCTGCGACACTTTGGTTCCCAGCCCACGCTCAATCCACTGAGCTACGCCAGCCAGGGCTTGAAGTATTTCTAAGAGAAATTAAAGATGGCTTAACTAGTAGAGAGCTACAGTACATTCATGGATTAGAAGACTCACTATTGTTAAGATGTCCATTCTGCCAAAATAAAAGTTCAAGCAGGATTTTTAAAAACAGAAATTAACAGCTGATTCTAAATTTCTATAGACATGCAAGGAAACTAAAATAACCAAAATAAACTCAAAAAGGATAAAATTAGAGACCCTAACTGTATCTGACTTTGAAACTGACTATAAACCTACAGTAATCAAGTCAGAGTAGGAAAAGGATAGACAAATAAATTAACCAGAATCCAGTCCAGAAATAAACCCACATTGTCAAGACAATCTAATAAAAAGGGTAAAATCTTTTCAATAAGCGATGAACAAATGGATATACTTATTGAGAGAAAAACAAAAACACTACCCCCATTTCACACCATTCGCAAAAAGTATACATAGGTCTAAAGGTAAAATCAAACTCTATAGCTTCTAGAAGAAAACATAGAATACTTTCATGACCTTTTTAGAGAAGACACAGAAAGCACTAACCATAAAACAAACATTTGATAAATTGTACTTCATCAAAACAAAACATTCCTGCTCTTCAAAATATGTAATTAAGAAAAGGGGCTGGCAAACCACAGACAGAGAGAAAATATACACCATATCAAGAATATACATTATACATATATTTTTAAAGACACTCCTCAAAAGAAAGGTATACGAAGGCTAAGAATCACATTAAAAAGTTCTAACATCATTAGTCATCAGAGAAATACAAAAGAAAACCACCAGATATCACTACAAATAGAATATTGTACAGTGGTTCTCAGTAAGATAGAGGAGTTGGCAATTTTGACTCCCAGAAGACAGTTTTAGTTGCTAATTGGCATTTAGGATGCTGCTGAACATCCTATAATACACAGGACAGTCCCACATGACAAAGAATTATCATACCCAAAATGCCAATGGTGGCAAAACTGAGAAACCCCCAACAGCTGAAATGTAAGAGATGAATAGCATCAAATGTTGGTGAGATGTAGAGCAACTAGAATGCATTGGTACACTGCTATCAGGTATTTACAAAAGTTCATTCACTCTGATGGTGAATAGATGCTGTCCTATTATGTGCAAACGGCCAAATTAAAGGCCCATATGGCCCACAAGGCCCTGCCTGATCTGGACCCAGTCTATGCCAGTCTCATGTACCAGGTAGCTAAGGTTCAAAGATGATTTAGTACTAATAAATTTTTCCATTAAGTCTACTTAATTTTACTTGGAGATATCTTAAAAACTCTAACACACACACACACACACACACACACACCCCCCATAATTTAGTTTAACATTACCTAAAGCAGGGATAGGAATACATTCCTGATAGCGAAATACCTACTGTTTCTCGGAATAAACACTAGTTATAAAACAACCCCATAGATCTATTTGATAGAAACTAGAGAAGCAACTGATGCCATAGTAAGTAATGGCCTTCTATCTTCTTCTGAAACTGAGCTTAACAGAGACCATTACAGAATTACTCACATTGGCTTAAGAAACAAACAATTAGGTGTGAAAAGATTAATACAAGTTCAGAAAGATACTATATATTTAAAAATACTACAACTCATTTCACAAAAGAATGTAGTCAGGGAAGAAACAGGCATAATTGACACTATACAACAGCTTGCAAATACAGTTTGCAAATATAATGCAAACTATAAATGCAAGCTACATATGTAATGTTAAAAAAGTAAAAAGAGCTCTGGCTGGTGTGGCTCAGTGGACTGAGTGTGGGCCTGCAAACCAAAGCATCACAGGCTCGATTCCCAGTCAGTCAGGATACATGCGTGGGTTGTGGGCCAGGTCCCCAGAAGGGGGCAGGTAAGAGGCAACCACACACTGATGTTTCTCTCCCTCTCTTTCTCCCTCCTTTCCCCTCTCTCTAAAAATAAATAAAAGCTTTTTAAAAAGTGAAAAAATGAAATCAATTTCGATAATATATTTCTTTATATAGGCAAATATATTTTCACATATTATGTACAGAATATGCAAAATAGCCAATACATCCAAAATACTGCCATTCCAATATTCAATCAACAAAAAATTTTCAGATTACTTTATATTCTTTTTGTACTAAGTCTTTGAAATACAATTTGTATTTTATATTTACAGCATATCTGAATTGGACTAAGCTATATTTTAAGTTCTCATTAGCCACATGTAGCTAGTGACTTCCTGGATGCTAATGCTGCTTATTACATGACACACTTCTAAGCATTTTACATGGATTATTTCAATATATCACACAGAGGCACATACAGGGGAAAGTAATGTGTCCAAGATCTCAGTTAGTGGTGGAATCAGAATTCCAACTCAATCAGCATGACTCACATCTCCTGCACCAAACTACTATGCCATCTCAAAGCAACTTTTCTTCTGTTAAGATATGATTGAAACTTTGTCAACCAAATTAATACAGTGAATTTCATGTATTCATTTTATGGAAACAAATTTCTGGTCACATAAAAAAGAAACTGATCCCCCCACCCTTCTCCACCACATAATTTAAAATCTGAAAGAACAGACTTACCATCAATATGAGTTTTTGATAATTTTGTTTTAGGTCTGATATACTTGCAGATGGGTTTGCCCCCAAAATGCTGTACCAATCCTTTTTTGGTGTCTGCTCAAATGCCATCACTCATTGAACCAGAGGTGGGCCTTCTTAGATTGGCTGAATAAAAATACCAATGACAATTAGTTAAATTCATTACAGTGTGCGTGTACCTAAGAAATAATAAAGTACTGCTTTCCTAACTTCTTTAATATTTAGATATTTGAGTAAATCATGGCTATAGTGCAAACCTGCTGAAGAACATAACTTTGTTTAAAATGCCCCAAGAATTTCATATATAAGACTACAGGCAAGTGTGGAAAACCTGTTAGATGTTTACTTTACAGGCTTAGATTTAAGTTAATGAACATACAACATCAATTCTATTGCTGTTGTATAGAATTTGATAATGAAGCCGAGTGAGGGATGACCCTCTAAGAAGATATTTCTGCTTGTCTTAGGGTAAACGCGACACACAGTAAGCATTCAATGAATACACTAAAGGAGCTTAATAAAAGTTTACAAAACGAATTATTTTTTAAAGCAAAGCAAAAGACTAAATATAAATAAATAAGATGAATTTGGGAGCTTTCCCTCTTAAGTTTTTCAGTTCACTTTTCTTCCAAATTACACTGAAAATGAGAAATAGCCAGTCATTCAGGAGGTAGCGACAAGAGTCCCTTTTACTGCAGTCCTCGCAAAGAGACCCCGAAACTATACACTCAAGCATACTGTCTGGAGTCTCCAGGCTACATACCGAGACTCCGCCAGGAGCCCCCCTGAAGCCAGGCAACTTCTGCCACAGCGGTGAACTTAAGTAGACAGTCAGAACTCCTCAGGACTGGGACTTGGGAATCCACTGTTTACAGGAAACTCTATCGCGAGGACCTTCCCCTGGCTTCACTTGAAATCAAACTTACCAAACTTCATGGAGGTTTGGGGACCGCCAGCTTACAAGCGATGGGCAAAACTCCGAACTGCTTCTTCTTCCGCCGGAAGTATTGCTTTGACGTGAACACGTTTCTAGCGGAGGCGTGGTGGCCGTGACTCTGGTCGGAAGCGCAGCTCCGCCCAACAGGACGCGGTCACTATGGTAACCAGTCACCGCTTCCAAGGAGTTCAATAGTTGCAGTAAGTGCTCGAGCTGTGGAAAAAAAGCATCATTCTCCTCGCCTTAAACACCCTCTTGTCTGTACATCGTCAACGTCGTCTCTCTTCTGCCTCTGTAAGAACCCCCACCCCTCTGGGCTGCCTCTGTTTTCCCCAAAACTTGCTCCGCTTGCCCTGCTCAGCGCTGCTCCCCCTTTTCTGGTTGATGAATGTACTACGGCCAGGGAGAAGGGGTGGTGAGAAGGATGATAATTGAATCCTCTTTAGTCCCTATACTGCCCTTAGAATGTTTTCATTTGAAAATTAAGAGAACTAAAACTTACGCCGAGTAGGTTTTTTTTTTTTTACTCGCAGGTTTTCTTTGGGGAGGGGGGAGGGAGGGGGGAGGGCGGGGGGGGCGGGGGAATGTTCAACCAAAATGTTTCATTTAGATCTTAGCAACCGGCTAAGAGAGAAAATATTTCCAAGGCCTTTCACATATACTATCTGACTTCACTTTCACTTCAACGCAGTGAGGCAAGTAAGGCAAGTGCTATTTTTCTCACTTTGTAGTTAAGGAAACAAACCAAGGATTAAGTTCAAATAGCTAATTATAATAGCAGCAAAACAGGGCTCTTAGCAAGTCTACATATCCCCAAGGCAACCATGCCATCTTTGAAGTTTACAGAAAAAGCAGAATAACCTGCCCTACTTTGACGTAGTTGCGGGCACTCTAAATGGGCACGGTTAACTTTTTGGTTAGATTTTTCCTTCTTCCCTTTCCTTTTCTTCCATTCTGTGTTTATCATTTATTCTCTCTTCTCTGTGCTGCTTCCTGCACAATGACCCCTCTTCCTTGCATTGTACCTGGAGGCAAAATCTGCATGTTTTTTCTTGGCGGCATGATTTAATTTCACTTGGACATGTTAAGGTTGTTTTGTTTTTACTGCTTAGATTTGCTTTCCTTCATTGTTATGTTCTACCAGATCTCAGTCTGAGGATTAGTCCAGATGAACCTAAACACAGCCAATAAAATATTTTAATATGGCGAACTGTTTAACGATGGTATGAACTATAAAGAATGACTGACTGACACAGGAAAGTAAAAAAAAAAAAATCTCAAGCTCTATGTATAGATTAGGTTCTCCATAGGATTTTGGCATCTTTTTTAAAAAAAGACACAAAAAAGCATTATACCAAATTGAAGAATCTGGTTTGATCCCGGTTGCAGTATGCCTTCTGTGTAGCCCTAAGGAAAAGGATCAGTAATTCATTGCTGACGTCTAATATCTAGTCCTTATTTACATTTATTTGGTTGTTTCAGGAATGTCTTTTTATGGTTGGTTTGCTTGAATCAGAATCCAAACAAAGTCTCTGCGTGGCATTAGGTTGTTCACCCAGAGCAGTGGAATGAAGTGTTGTTTGGAACACCTTCCTGTGCAGTCCTGTCCCTGCAAACTTTTCTGGCCCTCCGTTCCACTGCTAGTCTTTCCTGTAGATAATTATGCCTAGGTCTTCCAGTTCTTACAGAAGAGCTCTTTATCTTAATTCATGATTTCATTAGGATAATGTGTTATCTTTTTTACTTCTGTTTTAAACCAAATTCTGAAAAGTCTAATCACAGCACCTCAATTTCCTCAGTTCCCTTTTTTATATATTTACTTATTTGGGTTTGGAAAGTAAGATGCGCTTATTTTTACCCCCAGCAAATCACAAGTATTCCTTCAGTTCATCTTGACACACTTTACTTTGCATCTCTAAAGCATACTTTAGTTTGCAACGTTTTCTTTCATCTCTATAATGTCATTTTTCCGCCAAAGTGATCAACAATTCATTGTTGACATCTAACATCTAATCCTTATTTACATTTATCTAGTTGTTTCAGGAATGTCTTTTTATATTTGGTTTGCTTGAATCAGAATCCAAAGTCTATACATGGCATTTGGTGGTTCTGCCTCGTAAATATCGTTTAAGCTGTAGCAGTCCTACCTCACTACCCCTTGTTTCAGTTTCTCTCCTTTCCCTGCCTTTGGCTTGTTGAAAAACCCTATCAGTTGTCTTACGATCTGAATTTGCATTCATTTATACCAGAATGAATTTCTTAAAACACTTTTTTGCCTGAATGCCTGCTCATTCATTGTCTCTCATTTTTTCACTTTCTAGAGCAGTAGTACTGTATAACAGAAATACAGGGGTGGGCAAAAGTAGGTGGTTAATAATAATAATAAATAATACAATAATTAATAAATAAATGATGTAAGAATAAACTCTATGTTCTGTGTACCCATAATTGTAAACGCACTTTACCCACACATGTATAACATGTAATGCAAGTCATGTTTGTGGCCATGTAGCCATGTTAGGCAAGTAAAATGAAACAAGTGAAATGAATTTCAATAATATATTTAATTTAACCCAGTGTATACAGAATGTGATCTTTTCAAAATGTAACCCATATAAAAATTACTGGGTTATGGTCTATTCCTTTTTCATACTAAATCTTCAAAGTTGGTCGGTATTTTAACTGTACAGTGCATCTCGATTTGGACTAGCCAAATTCAAATGCTCAACAGCCACATCTCACTAGTGACTCCTTTCCTGAACAGGTGGTCAAGAAGATAAAAGTCCTAACTGCTTAGCCTGGCATTCAGTTACCTTCCCAATATGATCCTTAGTTTTTCAGCCTCATCACCTATTATGCAATAAACATAAACAATTGGATCTTTTCTTGGTTTTCCACCCATAATTGTGTTCTGGTGGTTCTCCCTTGCTTATAACACCCTAACTCTTTACTTCCTCTTATGAGTTTTATCCCTTCTTTAGGACCTGTCTTTTTTATCAAGCCTTTTATGTTGGCCCAGTCCTTGGAAATTACTTTATTTCTCTCAATTTTCATAACATGTCCTGTGTGTACTACTCATTTGTACTCATCCTACCCCACATGGTATTTTTATACACTTCAAATGTGTGCTGTGGTTCTCTAAGTGGATTGTCAGACCTCTCACGGAAACTAAGCACCAGCTATGTTGCTACTTTCTCTAGAGTTCTAAAGATGGGTATCTATAATAGGTTTGCCTTGTACCATTTTTAAGAAAGCAAGTTTTGCCCTGGATGGCGTAGCTCAGTGGATTGAGCGCAGGCTGCAAACCAAAGCATCTCAGGTTTGATTCCCAGTCAGGGCACATGCCTGGGTTGCAGGCCATGGCCCCCTGCAACCGCACATTGATGTTTCTCTCTCCCTTCCCTCTCTAAAAATAAATAAATAAATAAATAAGCTCCAGGCTTTAAAAAAAAAAAAGGAAAGCAGTTTTTTTCAGTTTAGGTAAAACTAACATTGCAGAAATATAAACTATGTTAGCATAGTGGTTAAGAGCATAATCTCTGGAATCATACAGCATAGATTTGAATCCAGACTCTGCTTCAAACTGGTTATGTGAACAGTTTAAATTAATCTTTATGCCTTGGTTCCTTACTCTGTAAAATAGAGATAATTATATTATCTCCCTCATAGATTTGTTGTGAGGATTGAATGAGGTAATAATAGTGCCTGCAAGTAGTAAGTACTCAATAAAAATTAGCTATTGTTATTAATAGTGAAATATTTGTTTTGATATTCATAGCAATATTTTAGGAATTTCCAAACAGAGGAAATGAAAGCCACTAACTATTTAACTGGAAAAATGAAACCAAACCCAAATGTTTGTTGAACTATGGCTTGCAGGATAAATTAAAAGCACAGGCCTAAATGACTTCATTCTTGTGTTGCCAGCAAAAACATAAGCTAAATAGACATCCATTAAATGTTTTATTTCAAGATTATTGTTTAAGTACTACCTCCAGAGGTAGACATGCACCAAGATGATTGATCAAGTTCTGTATCTAAAAGTAGCTATAGCTGTAGATATGTAGATATAGATAGAACAAGAGTTTAAGATCCTTGGTTATAAAAAAAAAAAGCTCCTTCGTTGTAGTGTTAGTAAAGAAATCACGTTCTTATTCAATTTGTTATTTTAGTACTTGCCTGTCCATAAAGTAAGGAATGGTCACCAAACATTAACAAATTCTTAATTTGAGATTATATTAGGAAACTGTGTTCTTAATGGTGAATAATATTTGCAATACTTACAGTATACTTTTGCTAATTTTTTCTTATTGTAGGATTGTATTTACTTGGTTCTTTTACTGGTTCTTCACCAACTCTTTTTTAATTTCCTTGATTTTTTTTCATAAATTACTTTATTGTTGTTCGGTAACAGTTATCTGCATTTTCTCCCACCCACTCCCCCCAACCCCAGTCGAACCCACCTCCCTCCCTTGCTTCCATCCTCCCCCTTGGTTTTGTCCATGTGTCCTTTACAGTAGTTTCTGAAAACCCTTCTCCCCACCGTCCCCTCCCCCCTTCCCTCTGGCTATTGTTAGATTGTTCTTAATTTCAATGTCTCTGGTTATATTTTGTTTGCTTTTTTCTTTTGTTGATTATGTTTCAGTTAAAGGTGAGATCATATGGTATTTGTCCCTCACCACCTGGCTCTTTGGCTTAGCATGATGCTCTCCAGTTCTATCCATGCTGTTGCAAAGGGTATATAAGCTGCTTCTTTCTTTCTGCTGCATAGTATTCCATTGTGCAAATGTACCATAGTTTTTTGATCCACTCATTAGCTGATGGGCACTTAGGTTGCTTCCAGCACTTGGCTGTTGTAAATTGTGCTGCTATGAACATTGGGGTGCATAGGTTCTTTTGGATTGGTGTTTCAGGGTTCTTAGGATATAATCCCAGCAGTGGAATTGCTGGGTCAAAAGGCAGTCGCATTTTTAGTTTTCTGAGGAAATTCCATACTCTTTTCCACAGTGGCTCCACCAGTCTGCATTCCCACCAACAGTGCACTAGGGTTCCCTTTTCTCCA